GTGAAAAGAAGAAATGGTAATGTGAAATCAGGGAATGCAACAACTGGCGGGTTGGAGAGCACCTGTTTCAGATAGGTGAATGCATCATTACATTGTGAAGTCCATTGGAAAGATGCATTTTTCTCAGTGAGTGCATGTAGTGGGACACAGTGATGTGCAAAGTTCTTAATAAACTTGCGGTAATATGAACAAAGCCCTAAGAATGCTCTTACTTCTGTTGCAGACTGTGGTGTTGGCCAGTCCTGAACACTTTCCACATTCTGGGGGTAAGGTTGAATACCATGTTTTGACACAACATGGCCCAAAAACCGAACCTGGTCACTTGCAAAACAGCATTTTGATGGATTTAGCTTGAGGCCACTTAACAAAAACCTTGAAAGGATCTCTTCCAGGTGCTGGAGGTGTTCAGTGAAAGAGCGACTGTAAATAAGCACATCGTCTAAATATACTAAACAAGTTTTCCACGGGAGGCCCCGAAGCACCATTTCCATAAGGCGTTGACATGTGGCTGGGGCATTGGTAAGTCCCATGGGCATGACTTTAAAGTGGTAAAGTCCGCTGCCTGTTGTAAATGCTGTTTTTTCACGGTCAGATTCTTCCAGTTCAACCTGCCAATAGCCATGTTGAAGGTCCATGGTGGAGAACCAGGCAGAGCCAGACAAAGCATCCAGTGCATCATCAACTCTTGGGAGAGGGTGAGAGTCTTTAATAGTCACCATATTCAGTTTCCTATAGTCTAAGCAGAACCGCCATGCCCCACTTTTCTTGCGCAYTAAAACAACAGGAGCAGCCCATGGACTATAACTTTCTTCAATCACATCTGCTTTCAACAAGTTCTCCACCTAAGACTGTATTTCAGCTCTCTGGTCAGGTGTTACTCTGTAAGCTCTCTGTTTGATRGGTGTGGCATCACCAGTGCGAAKATGATGTTTGATCATGCCWRTGCGACCTCTATCTTCTGAGTCCTTACTGAATACTGCCGAATATTTCTGAAGCAGAGATGTCAGAGACCGAATCTGAGGATGTGACAAATGTGTGTTATTTATCTGCRCRGGTGGAGTCAARTCATTTATGGGTGAGGTTTCACAACATGYTGTAACAGATGCAATGTCTACAGAGGAAGCAGGATGAAACTCACCAAGATGCTGGCCAGAGTACAGCTCCTTGTCTTCTCTGGAAGGATTTAGAACTCGAACAACAGTTGTCCCATTTTGAACTTCACTGAGAGAGTATGCAATAATGAGGTCACAGGCTGGATTGGGTATGAGAACACCACAATAGTCAGTTGGCATGGGAGAAGCAGGTGTAGCTGGTGACACACAAGCTGTGATGAGTGTTTCACTCAAAGATGGAACTTTGGTGGATGCCAGAACTGACACATTACAACAGGCAGCCACCTCATGTCGCTTTGGTAGAAGTGGAACGGTCATGTCCCAAAGTTGCAGTACTTTATTTTTAACATCCAGGAGAGCATGATGTTTTTCCAGAAAATCCCACCCTAGTATAACTGGCTGGGAAGCCCCTCTAAGAACATCAAAGTCCTGCTGCCATACCTGCTTTCCAACCCTTATGCCAATGGTTAACTTGCCTAAAATGTTCAAAGGCTGTCCATTTACTGAATGTGCTGGGATAGCGGAGGCCATCATAGGGCGTCTTTTCAGAGCTGGATGAGAGTTTCGAAAATCTTCACTCACAATGGAGGTAAAAGAGCCAGAGTCTATCAAAGCACATACTTCAATACCCTCAACAACAGCAAAAATGTTAGATGAAACAGGGATATCCGATAGTGCATTAGATTCATCAAGTATCAACTGTGGGTAAGCAGTCTGGAGCACTGGTGCAGTAGCTGATGTTTGCCCCTCAACAGCAGCTAATGGAAGTTTCCCTGTTGTTTTGAGCTTGAACGTACATGTCCTTCAGGAGACTGAAAGCGAACACTGGCCCGTGCATGTGGACTGGCATCTCTATGGCGCYGTGGAGCTGGACTGGGACTGCGTCTGTTCATATCATTGTCACGTCGACCATACGTGGAGTACTGGCGAGGTGGGCCRAATGAAGTATACTGATCACGTTCGTCTCTACCATGCCTCTCATAACTTCCTGGATGAACAGGGGATGTAGGACGGCGGCTATAATGAGTATTTGACTCATAACCATGAARCCGCTCAGGTGAGAAACAGTCTTTGTAATGTCTAGCAGAATATGATGGAGAGGTGCTGCGTGAACCATGGTGACCATCACGTGCGAAAGTCCTGTCTGTCCCAGACTCTAGACGTTGAGCAAGGTAGCCATGTTTCTTGTGCAAATGTTGCACCTCATCCTTCAAACTAGCTACTGTAAGAGTCAGCTGCTCAACTGCCTTAAGTAGTGTGTCATCTGTAGATTTAGAATGGACCACAGCCACTTGTTCTGTAGGCATAGAGGCAGGGGACCCTGCACTGGTAAGTTGCAGTGCTGCACGTGCTCTTTCACAGCGGCTAGCTATGCGCACAGCTTCTTCAAGATTTTCTGCACCCATCTCATGAATCCTTGACTGTAGCACTGGGTCCAACCCAGCAACAAAGCGGCGAAACTTTTCACCTTCAAGTGCATTGTGGTCATAATTGGGAAAGGCTTCCAGCACAAGACGAGTGATATCTGCACTGTACACATCCAAACTTTCGCCTGGTTTACGGGGACGGGCATTCACATGCGTTTGAAAAAAAGGAAGAGAATACATTGGCCCAAAAACATCTCTTAGTTTCTCTTTCACAGAATTGTAGTCTTTCTGGGTTGAAGGAGACAGGCTGTCCCAATAGAGAAATGCAGCATCTGCCAGGCGGGTAGGGAGAACAGAGGCCATCACTGAAGACAAATCTGCATCCGATGAAGACATAGCCTGCACTGCTACTTCAAAACGTCGAGACCAACTTGTAAATGATTCAGTCCCATCTCCTTTAAAAGCAGGAGGAAGTTCAATTTTTAAGGCACCGGAGATGGTATGCAAAGCCAAAGGGGATGCACCTGATTCCATTGTCCCCACTGACCCTCGTTGTTGAGCAGGAGATGGCTGCAGCTCAGGTACAGGGTCATTCTCATCAACAGACATGATAAAAATATCTCGTGCAAAAATTAAAAAAAGCACAAAAGTGGTGGTGGAGGAACTGCAAAAATCCTTAATCTTCACTGTCAGAGGAAGTCCTACTCACAAAGAGTGAACACAGTGCATGTAGCATATAAGTGAAATAAAACTCACCAAATGCACCAAAACCACAAAAATAGCACCACGCTGCCACCAAATGTAACGTGAGGGTTCGTTCTGTGGTGGATGGATCACTCCAGATATAAAATATAAGCAGGATGCAAACAGATGGCTTTATTAACAGTTCTTCAGATCTCCACACTTTTTACACTTTACCACAACACTTCCTGGTCTTCACATCACATGTCCCAAATCAACCAATCAGAAGCTAGCTGTAAGGTAAACAAAATAAGTGAAACACAAAAGCAGATTCAGCTTATTTAAAACTATTTTAACCATGCCATTGAACATATTTTAAACTTGTAAATATGTATATAATAATTTGGCTCATAAATGTAAACAACCACTGTTTAAACAACCACATTTCTTTTATATTAATCAGCCCAAAATATAATAACTTCCTTTGTAACTCTTACACTTCTATAATATCAAATCTTATTTTAATTTCTTTGAGTCTTTTAATCAATTGATTTCTTTCATTTTGGTATTTTTTGCAACGTATTAAAACATATTCTATATCCTCATCTTCTCCACAGTAATCACATTTTCCAGTATTATGTTTTCCAATTATAAATAATGATTTATTTAACCCTGTATGTCCTAATCTGAGTCTTGATATGACCGTTTCCTCCAGCATTCCTCATTTCTCCCACTTTCCGTTGAATTTTATACAACCATCGACCTTTTCTTTCTTCCTCCCATTGTTTTTGCCATTTCTGTCTCATTTTCATCTTTATATTGCTTTTTATTTCTGTTTTACTGAATTTTATTTCAATATCAACTTCTTTATTTTTGGTAGCCTTTTTTGCTTCTTTATCTGCCATTTCATTTCCTTTTATTCCAATGTGTGCTGGTATCCAGATGAATGTTACTCAGGACCTGCATTTCCACAAATCAGTTCAATATAACAGAAAACTCCAGGACATGACTCCGCCTATTTTATTACATCATCAGGAAGGGGTCCCTCACTTTGCTGGAGCCATGCCCTGAGACAAAAATAATCTAGCCTAATGAAGATTAACGGATCAGTTATGTGTTGAATTTGTGTTCAGGCATGTATAAAATCACCAATTTAAGCAAAATAGTCATGTTTGTTATTACAGTTCTCCTAAGAATAATACTACACAAGGTGGTGTACTTAAAATCAGTATAAAAACAAACCCCAATAAAACAAATTTCAATAGGATTAGACATGATGCAGGGATTGATTACTAAATTACTAAATAAATTTGTGATCATGGCTTGTTTTACTGAGATGCCAAAAAGAGAGCAGATTGTGATGAGTTCAAAATGAAAAACAACATTCGAGACCTTTATGAAAGCAGTTTATTTTCTGTAGTTTTATTTATGTGTGCAGACCAAGCTCAGTCACAGGACCTATGTTTATATGTTTCAGAAATCAATGAAAACTTTTGGCACAACTGGGCTCCATTAGCCTGACTAGTCAAGATGAAGAGTCACAATAGGAAGCGAAGTAAAGGGTGCTTACGTCTCTGGTGGGATCTTCATTTGAGCCTCTGCCATAATCCAAAAGCAGAAACATCCCAGAATTCTCAGCACATTCCTCATTACCAGTGTCTTGCTCTTCATCCTCTGTTTTCAAACTTCCCTGCAGTTCATGCTTGTTCTTGCTCCTGAATGCCTTCCATCAGATCTGGAAAAAAGTGTCCTGTAGCTTCTGTGCTCTCCCACTTCCAGCAAGTCAGAACATTTTAAAGCCATATGGAGCAACCTGATAAAAAGAGGAACTCTTGGAAGTCAAGCTGGAAGTCCATCATACAGGAACGTCATCTGTTGCTTGTTCTTTTAGGTCACTTCTCATCAAACCAGGGCTTAAGCATTGGCTCCATTTATCCCCTCTGCTGGTTTGTTAAAAGTTGTAAAGTGGCAGCAGAATGCTCTTATCTCCACTGTTGTCTAATTTGCATCGCAGATCAGTTAGATTAAAAAAAATCCCCTTTAACATAAAAAAACAGATCTAGAGGTGAGAGGCAAGCAGAGATAGGAGGAAGGATTGTTGCAGGGGATTGGATGAAGGATCTGTTTTATCTAAAGAGGATTAGAGCCATTTCCAGAAACAGGCTCTCCTTCTATCTATGAGAGCTGCTGGGGGTGGGGTGACAAGCAGGTGCATGTGGTTTATTTTAACTTCTAAACATAAAGAAAAGAAGATAAACCAACACAGAACTATGACCTACACACCAACACACACTGGAGGAAGACTGAACCGGGCATAAAGCTCACACTAGAGTAACAAGTCTACAAAAAACTAAAACAAAAAGTTATCAAAAACAAACCAAAAAACACAGATTTTGAGAGTACGCCCCTGCTCCCATTAGGGACGGCTCCTGAGGTTCTAAAACAGGGGCGTCAAAGTCATTTTCACAGAGTGCCGTATAAGCAGTATGGTTGTAATTAACGTTGACGTTTCATGCTTAGCTTTGATTAAACATGAAACACATTCCTCAGTACTGCTAACAGACAATAACTGAGCTTTATGTGGTATTTTCTGCACAGAAACAGTTTGAATTCTGAACTCTCCCACTTTCCAACAGGGAATGTCCACTAGAAGGGCATTTCAAGTTTAAATTCAGGAATTACATGGTAAATTCTCATTAAAACTCAGTAAAACTGGGTCGGAGTGAAAGCAGCTGGTGAAATTGCAGCTAAATGTAGATAGTACATTGTGAATTTCACCAGCTGCCAGCTACTTTTAAACCCTGTGTAGCTACAGTACACCTAGTGATGGGTTGCTGTCATTTTGCGGGTAAAATAATTGACACACATTATGGAAAACGTATGCTGTGTCCAAATTCATGGGCTGCGTCCTCCGAAAGCCAAATCTGCTGCACCGGAGGCTGTCCAAATTCGAAGACTTCCCCGATGCAGCCGACAAATGGGTCCTCTGTTTTCCCCTATTAAAGGGACAGGTCAGATGGATCCTTCTCGGCCCACCCTCTCCCATAATGCTTTGCGGGATGACTAGAGATTTTTTTTTCTGCTAGTTATGGCTGACTCAGAGGTTGCGCTAGACCTTTTTGCCGTCCCGTCATTTTGACTGACAGGGTGAAAAAAAAATCTGTCATGATCAATTTTTACCTGTCACTTTCTTTTTTAAATGATAATGACTAAACATTCATAGAATATGGCTATTG